AGAAGGTCTAGGGGAGAGAGGAGGGACCCAGTTTTGGGGTGTCCTGAGGGTCAAGGTGGGGTGGGGGGAGAGGAGGGTCCCCAGTTCTGCAGCCCTCCTGGCAGGGCTGGGAGAGAGAGGAGGGTGCTGCGGGGGGGACACGACACACGACAGGGAAGGGTCCAGACCTGGGATGTCCCCAGACTCTGTGTGGGGAGAGGTGATGGAGAAGAGGACCTCCAGTTTTGGGGTGTCCCCAGTGGGGTGTCTCATGGTGAGTGTTGCTGGGGACAGGCAGGAGGGCAGTGGGTTTGGAGCTGCCACGGGTGGAGCTGCAGCCCCTGGGAGCATAGGCTCAGGGTGACAGCATGGGGTTTGGGGGTGCCTGGCAGGCTTGGGGCATTTCCTGGGGGTGCCGGGAGCAGGTTTGCCTGCACGAGGGACCCTCTCCAGGAGCACAGCAGAGCCCCAGAGCCGGTGGCCGGAGGTCTCTGGCACTGATATCTGTGCTGGCTGCCCCGCAGATGGCTTCAGCAGCACGAGTCTGTGGAGAAGCTCAACATGCACGCCATCCTGAGCGCCTCCACAGGCCAGGATCAGCTCCTCACCGAGCTGCTGGTCGCCTACGCCAAGGTGAGCCTCCTTGGGTGGGTAGTGATCCCCATGCCAGGCCTTCAGCCTTGAGCCGGGGTTGTCTTGTGGACAATGTGCAATTTTGGAATAAAACAGTGAAGAATCTGCTGTATCTCCAGCAAAAACTTTTGACTGGTGTTTTGCCAGTGTTGCTTTTTTAAAAAAATTAAAGGTCAAGCTGTGGTATTTCTACTTTCTGGTCTCTGGTTCCTCTCTGGAGGTTGCTTTGTTCTCTTTCGTGCACCGGCCCCTCCGGTTGCGGATCTCTGCCCTATACCAGGGGTGTTGCTGCCCCAGAGCGTGCCAGACTGCAGCGGGACATGTGGTGCCCTGGGCCTGCCCAGCTCCTCAGGGTCATCTTCCCCCTTTGCAATCCCAGGAGCTCTCTCTGCCCTCTGGTCTGTTGGTGAAAAGCTGTTGATTTCTGAGCTGGGTGAATAGAAAGACAGCACACCCCAAGGCTGCCCTCCTCCGTGAGATGACTCCGAAGCCTGTGTGGCTGAGCATTAGCAATAAAACTGGTTCCCACTTCGGCACTGGTCTGAAAGGCTTTGCTACTGCATCCCTTCCCTGTCTAGATTCCTGTTCTCATTGGGGAGCTGATCTCTGTGGAGATCTGGAAGCACAAGATCTTTCCCGTGCTGTGCCGGCTGGAGGACTTCAAGCCGAGAAGCACCTTCCCCATCTACGTGGTGGTGAGTAGAGGGGCAGTGGCAATGAGCCTGGAAATTGGGCGGGCACCACCACGCTTAAAAATAAATCTCACCCTGAAGATCTCAGAGCTGAGGTTTTGCGTTCCACCAGGCTGAGAAGCTGTGGTGGACAGCGTGACACGGTGGGAAGCACCTAGTTTCCTAAAGCCACAAGCAACAAGCCTGTGTCCTCGCCCCCAGGAGGGACAGGAACCCGCTCCCAGGCACGCTCAGCCCCGTGTAGGTCTGCGCCCCTGCCTAATCCCACTCAGGGGCTTGCTGGAGCTGCTGGATGCAGCAAAAGCTGCTCCTGGAGGTGGCTGTGCTCCTGGCTTGCAGCTCCCAGCGACTTGGTGCTACCCTGACTCCCAGGCATCAACATCCCTAGGGTATTTTCCCCTCTTTGAGCACTGTTTTTCTCTGGTACTTCTGACCAGAGGGCTCTCCAAGGTTACATGCCTCCAGGTTAAAAAAAAGTAGCTTTTTCTTCCGGAGCTTCTGGCAGCAGTGGTCCCTTGGGCCATTCTTGGCAAGGAAGCGATCTTGGGAGCTGGGCTTCTCTGTGCAGGCATGCAGCCCTTGACCTAAGGGAATCTGCCTGAGGCTTGGAAGTTTTAGCCCATTTTAAGTCCAGGATAACACCTTGCTGGGGAAAGGTGGTGTCTGGGCTGCCGTGTGTCTGCACCATTGCCTCGAGGCGGTTATCTCGTGGTTCCCAGTCTCAGGACAAGGCTGTCTGCCCTCGTCCCAGGGGGCTGAGAGCAGCGCAGCCATGCAGAGTGCTGTCGCATGTCAGGCAGTGGCTCCATGCCGGTGCCAGGGCTACGGTTGTACTGCCACTGTAGTGCGGAGACAGAGCTCTGAAGAGCCCTGCCTGCTGAGAAGCATGGTTCTCTATCAGCATGTTATAGTGCCATAGGCATGTTAACATAAATATTAATATGAACTGGAATTGTTTTAAAGATTGCATCACTTGTGTTTGGCTCTTGGACTTGAAGTTGTCCACAACTACTAAGCAGCTTCTTAGAAGAGCCCTTTTCCCTGTCCCATGGCCTGTGTCCTCGGTGCTGGTGACTGTTCCACTGTTACCTCACTCTTGCCATTTTCCTCCTGCAGCTGCATCATGAAGCTTCCATCGTTAACCTCTTGGAGACAGTGTTTTTTTACAAGGTAAGATGCAGGTTCAGCTTTCCTCAGTGTAAAGCCCCTGCGGGTGGAAAGCCACGACTGTGGGGCCTGGCCCTCTGTGAAACTCTTGTCATTGTGAAGGAGATCTGCGAGTCAGCAGAGGACAGCATTCTAGATTTAATTGATTATTGCCACCGAAAACTGACACTGCTCGCAGCTCGGAGCGTCAATGGACAGACAGTGAAGCCAGTGGAGCTTCATCCTGAGGATCTGGCCAGCCCCTCATCCATGCAGGTGAGGAGAAAGTCCTGTAGCTCACTGGAGACATGTGTGATGGAGGATGTGGGCAGCCTGAAGAGGCACAGGGGGGCCTTCCTGTGGAGAACCCCTTGGCTGCAACCCCAGCACCTCCCACCCATCTCGGAGGGTGTCTGGTGCTGGTCCATGCCAGCAGCTCGGCTGGGCCAGTGGCTGCACCCTCCACCCTGCAGCTGCACATCCACCCTCCCTCATGACAGTGCCAGCTTGAGGCTTCCTGCAGGACACCATGTGAGTTCTGACAGGGGGGACGCTGGAGAGTTGAGAGGCAAAATAATCAGTGCAGGCGTTTTGGCCATTCGCCGTTGCTCTTAAAAGCTTTGTGGGTATGTCTCCCTGGAGCTTGTGAAACCCCCTTAGCTCAGGCTGCTGCTGGAGCCAGCCAGGGTTAACCATGAGAGGGATCCTTCCCTAAATCCATGTACGATATGACTAGGAATTGTCCTAATGTGTTTCCCCCCAGCTTCCTTGGCTCTCTGAGAAATACCTCTTCTCTGTGCTGGGCTGGGCCAGCAGCGAGCCCGGAACTGTTCCCAGTCAGGTATTCCCAGGCAGCCATGCACACCTTCCCGGTGCGGGAGCTCTCTTTGCTTCTGGTGCTTCTTGGCACACTGAGTTTTCTCCTTAAACTGCGCACATCTGAGGAGTGTCTGGAGAAGTGGGGTTAAAGTGAAAGCCTGCGAGCTTGGCTGAACCTCCCCGCATTGCCTCCATCCTTTGGCTTATTGCCCGAGCACATGCTCCTCGTCCAGAAAAGGGAAGGAAGTTAAGGGCTCTGGAGCACAATAGGGATGTTTTCCAGGAAATGTTTTTCCAGCTGGGGAGGGGAAGGGGGTGTCTGTTAGTGCTTTGACATGGTTCAAGTTAAAAAACTGACCTTTTCTAGCCAATAGGGTTCTAAAAAATGCTTGTCTCATAAGGACCCTGGTTTCCTCTGATTCATTCCAGCCCCTCCTGACATACAATAACCCCCCGTGAAAAAGCTGTTCCTGCCCTCTCCTGTGTTGTGGAGCCTGTTGTCCTTTGTGGCTGTGTATGGTGGTAACCCCTGGAGCAGGATCTGCTGTCCCCCAGAAGCACAGGCAAAAGATAGTCCCTGCCTGAAGGGAGCAGAGATGAGGTCTGGATACCAGGGGGAGCTGTAGGAAACTGCCTCACTGGGGGAGTTTGGAGAGGGAGGTGGGGGGGAAAAGCCCATAAGGCTTGCTTAGTAGCGTGTGGGGCACCAGCACGGGGAGCGCAGAGCTTCTTACCGCAGGAATTTGGAAGGGAACTGTTGCAGTGGCGTTTTAGAGAAATACGAGTTGCTGAGGTCAGTTCTCTGCACACAAAGATGTGAGCTGCGCTGCTGAGCGTCTGGGACTGGAGAGGAGAAACTCCGCCTGGGCCAGGGAGAAGGACTTGGCACCTCTCAGCCTAGCCATCCCGATGGTCTCGAAAGAGGCTGAGTCAGAGGGTGGTCAGGCCAAGTTTCTCCCTCCTCCTCTGGTTCCTCTGCTGATCATTCAGCTCCCCCTCCCTCAATCTTACAGGTCTCTGCAGGGCCATGGGCCACAAGATGATCCTAGAAGGGGAGAGAGGAGCAGTCTGGGACTGGCCTCTTTCAGGGGGTGTCCCTGTGCAGTGGCACTGCTGGTGGTAGCCACCCGTGACCTGTTAGGGGCAGGGAGATGAGGGACAAGCAACAGTGGGCTGCAAGCACGTCTATGGCTGCCCTGGCAAACAGGCAGCGCTGGCACAGTTGAGACGAGAAGCAGAATTTGTTTTGCAGGGCTCTGGTTTCCTCCACAGTCTGTGGTTACCAATGTGCAGCCAACAGGCTGCCTCCCTGCAGCTCCTGGGAAATGGGGCCTGAAATCCTGAGGCTGTGCTTGTCCCTCCACAGGAGCTGCAGAAGCAGGCGGAGACGATGGAGTTTGAGATTTCCCTGAAAGCCCTGTCCGTGCTGCGGTTCATCACCGATCAGGTGGAGAGGTAGGTGCCCAGGAGCAGCAGAGAAAAGGCACCGAGCTCTCCAGTTGAGATTCCTGCGGGGATGCAGCGGGTGCCTGGACCCCTCTCAGCAGCTGACTGTATCCGTGGTGGCAGTGGCACTGCGCCCCGGGAGGCAAAAACACAGCAGCACTCCATCCTGCTCCGTGGTACTCGCAGGAAGCCAGATCATTGTTTTTTTTTCCTGCCTCTCCCAATTGCCTCAGGGAGCATTTGTATCTGTTCTGGCATTTGTCTACGAGTGCCATTTCACCCTTCTGTCTATCTCCAGTCTGCCCCTGAGTGCGCTGACACGGATGCTGAATACCCACAACCTGCCCTGCCTCCTTGTCGAGCTGGTGGAGCATTGCCCCTGGAGCTGCCGCGAAGCAGGTACGGATCGTGCCCCATGGTAGCTGGGGTGCCGTGGTGGCATGCTGGGACCTGCATCTGCTGACGGGTCTGCTGCAGGAGCCCTTGCAGAAAGCTGCTCTCCCTCTACCCTCCTCTCTGGCCTCCTCCTCTTGCTCCTCACTCGTGCTCCCTGCCTGAAGCTGTTCAGCTCGAAAGCAGCTGCAGCACAGCTGGGCTGGGGATGCAGCAGTGCTCCCAAAAGCCAATCCTTGCACAGGGCTGTGTCTCTTCTGAGCTGATCATGACCAGAACAGGAGCAGGAGTGTAGCACATCTGCCTGCCTCACCTGCTCCTCTGAGGAGTCTTGTACTGGAAGCAGAGGGACCAGAGTGCCAGTCTCAGCCTGTCTGCACCTCTCTCGGACAGCGCTAAGAGCTGGAGCCAGACATGGGCTCTCCCAGGCAGCAAACCCATTGCCCTGAAGCTGCTGGTCATTGAGCTTCACTCTTGCCAAAGGCCTCTGATCAGGTTGTGCCCATTGGCCGTCACCTGCGCCATCAGCCCTGCCTCCTGCACCTCTGCAGCCAGGTGTGGCCCCCCCAGAGGCCCCCAGCTTCCCCACTGCCTGCCTCTGAGCAGTGGTGGGGCACAGCCTGGGGCGTGGGAACACACACTCCCCTCTGCAGCCCGGCACCAGGGGGTCACAGCGCGGGCAGGGGAGGAAGAGATGCTGGGAAGCACGTGGTTTTGTGCCTGTCGAGAGGAGCCCAGCTGGATGTGGGAGCTTTCCTCCTTCCTCCAGCCAGGGAATGCATCCTTTCTCTCCGCCTGTGTGCTCAGGGTGTCAGAGGGAGCTTTGATCCAGGGCCCTGAGGGAGGGACTGGAAAGAAACCAGAGTGCAAAGGCATTTCCAGGCTGTGCATATGCAGGGTTACATCCTCTCCACCCCCCAGAGCAGCACAGCAGCTCCCTGAGCTTGTTGTGTCCCTTCTGTTATGTTCGTGCTATTTCTGGCTTTCACTGGCAGAAGAACCTCCAGAAGAGCGGGTATTGGCCATGCTGATACCCCAAAACGTGCCTCTCCAGCCCCTCTGTTGCTGCAGCATGGGCTCCCCCACCATCTACCAGCGCTCTGCACTCCTGACCAAGTACAGAGGGAGATATCACAGGGATCTTTCGGCTCCTGCCACAGCCATATTGTTTTAATACATGTTCTTTATGCTTTTTGTGCTCTCTAATATATTGTCTCAGTACCAAGAAGGCTGCTATGCTGAGCAAAGGGGTGGGGAAACTGAGGCAGGCAGAAGCAGAGGGGCTTGCCTGTGGTGGAGTGAGGAAGACCAGCATCCCCACCTTTGAGCTGTGTTCCCTGGGGCAGCGCTGTCTCTCCCTGGAGCCATGTGTTCTTCTGTCCCTCAGGCAAGCTCAAGAAGTTTGAGAATGGTGCGTGGCACGTGGTGCCCCCTGAAGACCAGGTGAAGATGACCAAACTCGATGGGCAGGTGTGGCTTGCCCTCCTCAACCTCCTGCTGAGCCCTGAATGCCAGCGCAAATACCACTTTGATGGCTTCAACAAGAGCCAGCTCCTGAAGGTAGGACCCTACACCACGAAGGCTGTGGGCCCTGCAGCACAGAGTAGGACCTTGCCAGCACCAGGCACCTCTGGGCATCTCTCCCCATCCTTGCTGTGGGCTCCTAAGAGCCAGTGGTGGGAGTGCAGCAGGGTCTGTCACCGTGCCAGCAGCAGCGGCAAAGTTTGCGTTTGTGAGTGCACCTCTTGGGACCCCCACGGGTCACTCTGCCAGTGTCCCACAGATCCCTGCTCTTGCCATGCTGCTTCCCCAGCTCTGGCTCCCTTGTCTTGACCTCTCTCCATTCGGTGTCCTCTTCCGCTCCGTGGCTGCAGCTCCGTGCATTCCTGACAGACGTCCTCATTGACCAGCTTCCCAACCTGGTGGAGATGCAGAGATTTCTGAGCCACCTCGCAGTGACAGAGCCGGCTCCCCCCAAGAAGGATCTTGTCCTGGAGCAGGTATCCTGTGGCTCTTCCTCAGCCTCTCCAGCCACTCTGCTTTAAGCCTGATAGCTCCTTACTCCCTTTTCCTCCCACCAAGCTCAGCTCTGAAGAGGTGGTGCCCTGGTAAAGCAGCCAAGCACCCATTTCACAGTTACACCCTTATTGCCAGCAAAGTTGTCCATGGATGACGTGGGAGCCTTGCCCTGCTGTCACCATGGCCGAGCAGTTGCAGCTAAAGGCATAAATGCTGGGTTATAAACAGCTCTCCAAATTGCAGAGTCTCTGGAGTGGTGGCTGCATGGGGCAGAGACAACCCCTGGCTTGTTTTGACAATTAACTCTTTATTTAACATTTATCAGTGTTTTCCTGCCGAATTCTGGACTCCCCATGGAGAGTCCCCTTTTACAGCCCTGGTGTGGGGCTGCTTGGCACACTGTGTATGGAGGGATGCGAAGGTCTGGTGATAGAGGCTGGAGTCAGACTGGTCCCAGCTGATGTCTGGGGCTTGGGAGTTGGGCCCTGAGGGTCTTCAAACAGTGTGAGGTTCTTAAGGTTTTTAATCTGTGCAGTGGTAATCTCTGGAGAAAAGTGTTTCTACTGCCTTCTCATGAGCTGAGGGGAGAAACTCTGTGTGGGGGCAGATCTGCAAAGAGGCAGCTGAGAAGAGCTGGGAGAGCAGAGGCTCTTCCCCACTGCTGGAGGCTCCCGCGCCACTTCCCAGAGCAGATGGGTAGGTTGGGCAGTGGCCGCTTGGGCTGTGCAGAGGGGGAGCGTGCTGCCCCCAGCGCAGCTGGCCGTGGGGCCTGGGAGGAGGGTGATGTGCCCTGGCCAGAGCTGGCTGCGGCTGAGCTGGAGGCATGGCCTGTGCCGGGAGCTGGGGCTGGGGAAGGCTGCAGACCGGCAGGCTGAGCGGTTGGGGCTGGGGATGGCAGCAAAGCGGAGGTGGTTATGGATTTCCTCCACGTGCCTCAACTGCCAGCGTGTCAGTGGGGCCGGGACAGGCAGCTGCTGTGCTGGGGACCTTGCCCAGGCTGCTGCCCTTCTCTGTAGCTCTGCTTTTGTGCTGGTGCTGCTCCTGCCTCCGCCAAGGGCTGGGGCTGAGCCCAGTGGGTGGGCAGGGGGAGCGAGCTGGAAGCATACACATGGGCTCCCTGCTCTGCCCAGAAAGCGGTGAACTCACTCCTTGTCGCCGAGCCAAGCTGAGGAAAGGACTTTTTCCATTCGGCTGCTCCCAGAGCAGCCTCCTCCCCTTCCAGGCCTGGCTATTTTTACTCTGCTGGAGAAGGCAACGCTGTTTGAAGCAGCATCGTCCTCTCCAGAGCCTGAACTCCACGTGCCGCTCTTGGCTGGCGCTTTTGCGCCGGCCAGCTCTTCCCCGAGTGCTCGTCTTCAGGGAAGTGACGAGTGGAAAAATCTGCTCAGGCAAACGGCTCCAGAGCATGGGGTTCATGCTGCTGCCGGCACACAGCGTGCTGAGATCCCAGGGCTTTCTCTTCAGGAGCCCAGGTCTTGGGGCTGAACTCTCACTCCCAAAGGAGTGAGAGTTCCAAAACCCTGAAGGTTTTGCCTTGTTTCACCTCAGTGCTTGTTGGCGAGTGGATCTGTCCCCTCCGTGTACCCAAAAGCACACCCTCACTCCCTGCACCTTTGCCTCCGCACGTGCTGCCTCCACTCACCCTCCTCAGGGGGTACACTCCTCATGCCCAGGGTCAGCCACCCCCCCCCAGATGCCCCCGTACCACAGCACCTTCGCCCGGTCTGCAAGCACCCCTTCCTCCTGCTCTGCCTTTCCCCCCAGGTTCCCGTCATCTGGGACCACATCCTCAAGAAAAACGCGGGGAAGTGGGAGGCCATTGCCAAGCACCAGGTGAAGCGCGTCTTCAGCCCCACCGAGGAGGAGCTGAAGCTCCAGGCACGCAGGTAAGGCCCTGGCACATGCACACAGGATGCCCAGTGGAGCCAGTATCCTCATTAGCAGGGGCCGGAGCTCAGGACTGGGAGGACAGAGGCGTCTGCAGCATTGGCTGGGGATGTCCGCTCAGCAGCAGGGTGCAGCGCGAACAGCTCGCTGCTTTTCGGCAGTTCTCCATGAGCAGCCTTGCCCCCTCTCTGCTTGCCACAGGTGGGCACAGACCTATAGCCTGGACATGATGGAAGCTCTGGCCCCCGACAAGCCCCGCTGCAGGGTGTGCGGCGTGGAGGCGGCCAAGCGGTGCTCTCGCTGCCGGAACGAGTGGTACTGCACGCGGTAAGGGAGCCCTGCCACCCCCCTGTGTCCCCTGCAGCCTCCCAGTGTCCCCCTGCTGCCCCCCGGTGCCCCCTGCTCCCCAGAGCACCACAGACCTCCGCGGAGGATGCTGTGAAAGGGCCAAGGGAAGCCCGGGGTCCCACCGCTGCTCAGCACTGCTGGCTCTGTTTGCCACATACCTCTCTAAGCCTTACGGTGGGGCTGATGTGCTGGGACGCTGGTGGAGGAGATGCTGGTGAGTGTTGTGTTGTTGCTGCCAGGTGCTGAGCTGCCTGTCCGTGTGTCTGCCAGCCCACACCAACAGCAGCGGCAGGCTGTGTTTCCCATGGTGACACTGTCTCCCTCCCCTGCACCTTGGTGGGGCAGGAGTGGGGAGAAAAGCTCCCCTGGCTCTTTGGGTGCAGGTGATGGGCTGGGATGTGGCAGCTGGGATGGTGACAGTAAATTAATCTTCTCTGGTCCTGAACCCTAGGGCAAGGTCTGGCATTAAACTGTCTCAGCCCCCAGAACTGGGGGCCGCATCCACCTCCCTGTTGGGGTATCGCTTGCCCATGCCAGATCCCCACCCTGTGCCTGGAGGAGTGTGGTGCTGGGGTTTGTCCTTGTCACTGGTTCACGCCTGGGATGGATGTGGTCCCGCTGCATCCCTGCTTGAGCTGTGGGCACCCTGCTTCGCAGCAGAGTCCCTGAGCAGTGACCTTCCCTGCCGCAGGGCGTGCCAGGTCCAGCACTGGCAGAAGCACAAGGCTGCCTGCAATCTGATGGCCGGGGAGCTGAAGAGAGCAGATGACCCCTAAAAGAAGCAGCAACTGGCATCTGGCCCATGGCTCGATGAGGCAGAGTTTCCCCCTGCAACCAGAGAGGAGAAGCTGGGAAAGGCCCCTTCTCCCTGCTCCCAGCCCCAGGCAGTGCTGGCTGGGCTCGTCTTCTCCCACCTCCCTGCCACGCAGCCTTCTCCAGTAAAATTCCTTGTGCACCCCACTGCTGCTTGGCTCCTGCTGTTTTATTCTCTTAGCTGAAGATGCTAAACAGCTTCCTCCCCTCCCTTGCACCTAGGGAGAGGGGTGTGTGTCCGTTTTTCCCCTCTGCAACAACAGAAATCCCAGAGAACCTGAAAAAAAGAGCCGATAAGGTTGTGGTTACTAAAAGGGCCAAGCCCTCTGCAGCTGAGGCATGTGAACTGGGGGAGGGAAGGGGGCAAGAAGGCCTCCATGCTGCCTCTTATCTTTTGGCAGCCGTCGTTAGAGCGGCAGGGGGAGAGAGGCAGAGGATGTGGTTAGCACAAGCACCTCGCTGTGCAAAAGCACATGAGTTTCTCCAGTGTTCGTCATCTGCCATCTCACAAGGACGATTCCCCCGCCTCTCCTCTCACAGTTGATCCGACATTAGCACCGAGGGCTTGGCCCCCTGCCCACCAGCATCTCTCTGCAGGGTTTACTGGTGGCCTGCTGTGCCTTGAGGTGCATCCCCGCCTCTCCCACTGCCGAAGGGCTGGAGTCTTTGTCTGAGCATGACTGGGAAAGGCTGGTGGTGTCGGCACTGCCATGCATCTCCTGTTGTGATGGGGTGCCTGAGACACCCCCCCCCAAAAAAAAACAGGCTTTGCACCAGCGCTGCTGCTGCAGGAGCCACGACAGTGGGCAAGAAACCATCTCGGTCCGGCTGAGAGTTTACTCCTCGTCCCAAGCCCGGGCTGCTTGGCCAAGGCTGCAGCTGGACCAAGCACGGAGGCTCTCTGGGGGAGCTTTGGCTGCTTCTCGCCTGCTGCCAGAGGTTCCCCCAGCCCCTTCCCCGCTGGGAAACTGAGGCAGGGAGTGAGGCTTGCCCCTGTCCTGGGAGAGGCGGTGGAAAGAGCCGGGCTGCCAGAGCGGGGCCCCTCTTCCTCGGCAGCGG